TCACTGAACATACAAAGAAAGAAGACAGAAAAGAAAAACTGAAAGTGACTAGATATGTACAAAAAACAGTTCAGCTATTCAAGTCTTTCCATCTTTAAAATCAAGTCATCACAGATTTTTGTTAGCTCCTCATTTTCTTTCGCCTGGTAAAAGACAAAAAAAAAGTTAATGAGTCATGACCTCCTAAAACACGTGATTGCAGTCACCAGCGTCAGAAATCAGTTGGTTGAGGAGATGTTCCATTGCAAATGCTGGTGAGTTGTAGGACTCTTTTGTAGCAGATAAAAACAGGCCTCTCTCAAGAAAAACTTCTTTAGGCTTCTTCACATTTTGAAGTGAACAAGTGACATATTTCTTTAAGCTCTAGGCAATGTCTGAAATGTATATTCTAGTCTTTCTGGGCAGAACAGCATATTTGGAAAGTCTCTGCTACTACTTCCAAATTCCTCTCTCTGCTGCTTATTTTTAAAAGTTCCCCAAGTGGCAGACCCATTGCAGTAACTGCAGTAGGAGCAATGTTGAATCTCAATGCTGTCATTCTGTTAGAGCAGTGTGGGCAAACCTTTTCGGCAAGGAGCACCACCAATTAAGCCTCACCCCTCCCTCCCCAAGGACCACTCCAATTTCCTTCCTCTGCCCAATCCACCACTCTGCTCTGCCTCGTCTGCTACTCTGTGGTATCTCTAGCTAGTACTTGTAGCCATAAATGGGAAGAGGCTGCACAATTTAGAAGTTAATTTGGGGAAGATGGGCTGAGTATGGGACTTCTCTCCAAAAGAAAAAAAATGCCTTTGAATTGGTAGCATCACAAAAAAAAAAAGTTGCAACTCTGCACTTAATTCTCATTACAGGGCTATTGTAAAGAGGAAAACTAATGCTAAGCACTGCTTCTACTGCCTCATGACAGGGAAAGTCTTTATACGAACAATTAAAGAACTCCTTAATGAGCCAGACTGATAAGACAACATGACTTGCATACAAGGATGAAATCCTAGAGTCACAAAGTAATACATTTATTGTACAAAGCTATTAGGGAAAGAAAAAGACTACTCAATAAATGTTACTGTTCATGGTTTACAGGTGGCCATTTAGGAAGCTGATTCTATTACTTTGACAATATATTTAAAACTGGTAAATTAAATTTATATTTGTTATTCAAGGCAAATTAGGAAGTTGCCCCCTGAGATTCAATCTAGATGTTTTGCTGCAATTTAAACCCATACATTTTGGTCCTGCTTCTAGGACAGGAAATAGGATTTCTTCACTGCCTTCTTTTGGACTGTCTCTAGTTTCTTTGTACACAAAATACGTGCTGTTATGCCAGCTGAGTGGTATCAGCACTTCCAATATGTTGCATACAACACTTCCATTGATGCATTTTTTTTTAAATGGTATCATATTGCTGACTCACGTTGAGTTTGTGGCCTGCTGTCACCCCTGTCCATTTTTAACACTGCTACTGCTAAGAAAATGAATCTGCCATTCCATATTTATATAGCAAAATACTTAAACTAACCTTTTGTTCGAGGCTCCTCTCTAAAGACTGGACCCTCATTTGTTCTTTGCGTAAACTGGCTTGCAGTGCTAATGTCTCCGATTTGGCTTTGCTTCGTACCTGGGCAATCTCTTCATTTGCTCTGGAATGAAAACAACTGGGGTTTAAAATGAGACTTCAAACTAACTGGTCAAACTGCTAAAATCAGGTTAAATCTGTTTTTTGGACTTTAAAAACAGTTTAACTTCTGGGAACCAGAGTGTGAAATCATAACCCTGGTAGAGATTTATTTCAGTAGACACACATTCACCCTGTATATCACGCTGTTTAAGTGCATACCTCGGGTCTGAAAAAAAGACTACACCCTTTATGTGGAATATGCACTTATTCAAACAATATACACAATGCACGTAAACTGAAGATACAAGCTGGACTCTCTTCCCCCTACCTTATTAACCTAGTTACCTTGCTTCTGAGAGCGCTTTAGGTCTCTAATATCAGCCTTAAAAGTGACAGGAGTTACTAATTTCAAGGCTGCTTTAGAAGATTTATAACAGACATATTGTAGTCAGTTTAATCGATTATACAGTAAAACTGAGTATAATTCCTTTGTGAAGTACACAGCAGGATTAAAGCATTCCTATGCAGTTAAGCATTTCATCAATACAAGTGGAATACAGATAACAGACATTTGTTACAATGAAAATAGCAAATAAAAGTGGGGATTGGCAGCATTTGTGGTTAAATTACTATAATTTCACTGATATATGCATACAGTAAATAAACCGCAAGTTCTCTCTGATAGTGCCTTATAATTCCATACTTACTGGCATAGCTTTTCTTCAGCATGTTTCTTCAGTGCTTGGTATCTCTGCTCTTCTTTTTTAATCCTTGCAAGGTAATCTTCAGCACATTTTTTCAGAGCCTCTTCATTCTAATCCAATAAAAGTTCAGTTAATAGCTTCTTAGGCACTGGTACATAGCTTCAAAGTGTGAGGTTTGCATTTGCAGTTATTCTACCTATATGAGGACCCTTCATGTCACATATGTTTAAAACCAGATATTAAAATCCCTTGCTGGATCGCATATTGGTTAGTGGTAGCAACAGGGAATGAGTTCTCTTCCTTTTGGACTTATTTATCATCGCCAGCATCTCAGAACCAGTTTCATAAGAGCTTGTTTCTTTAGGAAGGTAATGACAAAATAAAGGTGTCCCTGTACAGTTTTTCTTTCCTTATATCAATACAGGAGTTGGGGAGTAGCTAGATCCAGGCTCTCTCAGGAAGCATGCAAGCCCACAAGAAATTCAGATTCATTAGTCTTATTTTTTACTACAAGCATTAAATATTGCAGTGCTGCAGAAGCTACTAAATCAAAACAGGAAGGTTGGGGAGGAGAGACAAGTAAGTGCCCCATTATCCAAGGCAGAACCTAGCAGAGATCCCTGTAAAGCGTCACCAGACCTCCCACATCCCCTTTTAGCAGTGAATGAAGAACCACCCCAATTCCTGGATGCATTCTGATAAACACTGCTACAGAAATACAAGTAAATAGGCAGAAAGAAGTCCTTCCTTGGATTCAGACCCTAAATGACCAAGCCAGTTTCAAGTTTGAATTAGGAGGAAACAAGCAAAGATATGCAAGTTTGGAACCAATATTGTACACTAGAAACTCTGGCACCAAGTCAGGCCTTCAAACACATTGGAATAGGTAGCTCACTTGAACCTGAAGCCAATATAATCTAGTAAGAGGACATCCTGTGCACTATTTTCTGCCCAAGCCACACTGATTAAGGAGACAACTTCCACTAGTCATTCTGATACAAATTTTAAGGCAAGCAACCAAACATGAAGTATGGAGTACTTTCAGTTAGCAAAGTGCAATAAAGGTTACTTTAAAAGGGATGTGGATAGCATCGAGAGGGTCCAGAGGAGGGCCACTCACATGATCAAGGGGCAGCAGGGTAGGCCCTATGAGAAGAGGCTATGGGACCTGAACCTGTTCAGCCTCCACAAAAGAAGGCTGAGAGGGGATCTGGTGGCTGTCTATAAACTTACCAAGGGAGACCAGCAGGCAGTGAAAGAGCCCCTGTTCCCCCGAGCGCTACTGGGAGTAACAAGGAATAACAGCCATAAGTTGACTGA